CTGGTTCTTAGTTTATGCATTTTCTTCTAGCATCATTGCAAATCAGAGCAGTATAACAAATCAGAGAGTAGCACAATGTATTACTGTACCTGAAACCGGGCGTAGTCAGAACGAGTTCATCTCGAGACAATAAGTCCTCCTCTTGAACAACAACTTAGCCGCAGTTCCAAAGGGTTCCTCAAATGCATCAGACAACCAAGAAGCATCACAAACTTCCTTCTTCGACTCGCTCGGCCTAATAGCAACCAATGTAGCACCTTTCAACACAGTACCATCAGGTAAATCCAATTGCGGAGCATACCAAAGCCTCATATTCAATGCAGGCACAAGAGTCCGCTTCGAAGCAGAAGAAGCCGATAAAGGAGTAACTCGAAGCTCTTCGAGCTGTTCTCTGTTCATAGACAGTATACCTTGTCCATCTGCATCAGAGAGAACCAAACGATCTAATGTCTTATGCTCAGTAATGATCTGTTGAAGAAGATAATGTCGAGCAGATGCGGCGATTAACGAGCTTATCGTCCAAACTACACGAAGCTTAAGTCCTCCATTAGTGTAAAACGATTCAGGTATGTTACCATTGTCTTCTTCAATCGAATTCTCAACGGAATTCGACTTCGTTACTACCGATGAAGCACCGAGAATCATACAATTATCAAGCGTAGATCCGAAATCAGCTCTCCATTTCAGCAATATACCATCTTCGATTCCTAATTCTCCAGTTGGTAATTCGATTCTAAGAAACCTAATCTCAGAGAAGTTTTGCAATACCTGAGTTGGAGAATGGTGCGTAATAGTTCCTTGATCGATCTCTCCGGCGATTTCGCCACCAGAGAGTGATCGTTTAGGACCTAGTAACTGACCTAAAACCTGAAACGGTTTGAAAATCGGAGCGAAGACGAGACGGAACAAGGCGGAGAAAGAGCCACTAACACCGGAAGGATCTAAAATCGATGCGGAGTTTAGAGAGAAACGACGATCTTCAACGGAGGAATCGTCATCGGAGATTACACAATCAACGCGAACGAGTACGTTTTCGACGAAAGGTACAAGAGAGTGGAATCTACGGGAAACGATGCAGCAACGGCCGAGATCTTTGACGTCGGCGACTTTTTCGAAGATTAGGAGGAGAAGCGAGTCGGGAAGAAGATCGAAGTGATCGAATTCGTCTAGGGATTGAGGTTCTGGGTGAATCTGAGAAAAGGGATCGGAGCGAAGAAGGTAAGACATGGCTTTAGGGGAATTT